CTTTCTTTCTCTCTAAAATCAATAAAGAAAAAACATTTAAGAAGAAAGGACAAAGGATCAGGTGGTTGGCGTGCAGAAGAAAGGTCTGGTCTGGAAGGAACGGGCCTTGAAAGCCTGGTTAAAACAATGGGACTTGACGACATCACGGCAGATAATCCAAAGACAGGAAGGTGTTTAAAGGTGAGGCAAGAGAATAGGAAAATAGAAAGTCACATTGAAACTGTAATAATTGCCACAGGCAAAGTCCACCAATGAATGCCAAGGTGGGCAAAAGTTGAAGGAAAAACAAGGTAGTAACACAACTGCAAAGCTTCTCCCCCAAATATTTACTTATTATAAAGGGGAAACTAGGAATTTCAGAGTGACAATAACTGGCAGACATCACCTTAACCAACTGATGACGGTTCACGGTACCAGTGATGAGACACAGCAGCGTCACGTACCCCAGAAAGGATGGACTGAGGAGGACACAGCATCACTTCTGCGGAATTCTTGCTACAAACGCGTAGCTTCAACTCAGTCATCAGGTAAACCCACACCGAGGGCCTTTGCACCCCTCAAAAACATCAAGTCATTGAAGACAAGGAAAGACTGATAACTGTCACACTTGGCGGAGGGAAGGAGACCGAGCACCTACGTGCAATGTGTGAATTCTGGAACCCAAATAAAAGGACGTGAGTGGAAAATCCATGAAAGCCGCATGAAGCCTGTGCTGAGTTGCTAGCACTGTTCCGAAGTGCACGCTTACTTCTGATCATTGTCCCATGGTTGTGTGAGATGTTCCATCATGAGAAGCTGGGTGAAGGCCGTTATGGGTACTCCCTCTCTTTGTAACACTTCTATTAAGTCCAAGTTAACGTCAAAATAAAAATTAAAAATGTGGCAGGTAGCCTGGAGGAAAAAATATTGAACCCCTACCTCAAACATTATACGAATATGACTTGCATTAGAATATTTTTAAAAAATGAAAACATAAAAGTCCTGGTTGGGTAGCAGTTGGTTCGCACATCGTCCCATTACACCAAGGTTGCGGGTGCGACCTCCGCTCAGGGCACATGCAAGAATCAACCGATGAATGGTGGAGCAGCAAGTCAAAGTCTCTCTCTCTCTCTCTCCTTTTCTCTGTCTAAAAACGATAAATTAAAAAAAAATTTTTTTAATAAAAACACTAGAAATAAACAAGAGAAACAACTTGGTTTCACAACATTTACACTTACAGTGGAGTATAAATAGTGTCAACATTGGTGAAAGATGCCCGGCCTCAGTGCTTGGGCGTCGACCCTGCTCCAAGAGGTCGCCGGTTTGATTCCCGGTCAGGGCACATGCCCAGGTTGTGGGCCGATCCCCAGTGGGGGGCGTGCAGGAGGCGGACAATCAATGTTCTCTTTCATGGATGTTTCTCTCTCTCTCTAAAATCCATAAAGAAAAAAAGATTAAAATTAAAAATTGGTGAGAGAGGCAATATTGGGAAAATGCAGCCAAGTTTCAAGGTCGATCGCCTGCAGAAATGGGCCTACAATTCAGTTTTCCTTACTGAGCATCATGGTTTAAAAACATACAAGTCCCTTTAGAAAACAAACAACTATGAATGTCATCCACTGTTTACTCTCAAGCGTGTGTGGATATACATACATGCACAGATAGACACATATAATCATACACACACAAACATACACACACACTCACACATGCATACTTCAAGCTCAACACCAGCTCTCGCAACACAATGAAACAAATTTGGGCGTAATAATCTGGGTCTAATAGTAATAAAATAGTCAAAGTGACGAGATCATTGAAAACAAAGAACCTCTCTCTGTCGCCGTAAGCCAGAATTTTCAGTCGGAGATAACTGAGAAAATAAACTAAAAAAAAAAAAAATGACAAGTTGGCCCTGGCCAGTTTGGCTCAGCGGTTAGAGCGTCGGCCTGCGGTCCGGAGAGACCCAGGTTTGGTTCCCGCTAAGAGCATGTACTTCGGTTGCAGTTTGTCCCCCGGCCCTGGTTGGTCGTGCAGGTGGCAGCCACTCGATGTGTCCCTTCACGTCGATGTCTCTCTCTCTCTCTCTCTTCCTCTCTCTCCCTCCCACTCTATCTGTACAAAAAATGGAAAAATATCCTCGGGTGAGGATTAAAAAAAAAAATAATGACAAGTTGAATCCACTTGTCACTGTGTCCGCTAAACAGATTTAATTTAAACTCAAACGTCATCCTATTGGAAGGGGAGAGGACGAGCTAAGAACATGCACTGAACTTTGCACAGCGTTAGTATGTAAAGTAAGAGAGACGAACCTAATGAGAAAGACAAAGTGAGGGTCGGCATGTTCACAGACTAGCAAAAACGTAACTGATACAGAGGCATATCTAAAGGAATGTCCAGCTACTTCAACACTACATGCGGCTACATGCTAATGGTCAGTGTTACCCACGAGGAAAAAAACCTGTTCAAACTGAGTATTTTTTCAAAAAGGCAGCGGATATAAGAACTTCCACACTGTACTGAGGTTAGCAGTCATCCAACCAGGAAGAAAAAGCATTTTTTTCCAAAAGTAATTTATTTAACATCTGAATAGTCCATCTGCGGTTACTGCCGCACTGACTAGAAAGAAACGTTTCTGGAGGCAAATGAAAATATGAAAGTGTTTCTGGGAGCAGTGTCTGTCACCCCTGGAATCAAGCCCAGGTTAAGAACATTTGTTTTCGAGAAGCAGCTAACGCAGTGAAGTGTCCTGGAACGGCCACTGGGCGGCCCGCAGTATCGTACCCGCTCCATCGGGCGCCAGCTTTCCTGGGCTGACACCCCAGCTGGCATCTGCCGCTGTGTGACTCGGAGCCGCGCACTGAACCACACTGCCCCTCCCTCGTCTGCCTCCTAGACTCGCTGAGAACTACGGGTGCTCACGTGGGGAGGCCGTGCTGGGGAGCTGTGGGCAGCAGCCACCCGGAGCGGCCGTTCTTGCGTGTCGGAAACCGACAAAGAGGCTTGTGGGAAGGACTGTCATTTCCCATCTCTCACACCCTCTCCTGGAGTGACGGGGATCATGGGATGGCTCTGGCCACTCCTCAGTAAGATCGGCCCTGGTGGGGGACGCGGAGGTGCCCCCTCATCCTACACGGTGCAGAAGTGACTCTAACACAGACCGAGGAGTCAGCCCGGCTCCTTAGCGTGTGCTCTGGGGTCTTGGCACAGCTTCCCAACAATGCCATCAGCCCTCAGAGGGACAATCTGGTGACTGGCCAGCACCTGACTTCGCATTTGATCTTCACCCAGGTCCCCTGAAATATCCCACCTGTGTTTTGCTCATCGCTGTCTTTCCCAACGTCAGGAAAAGGACACGGCACACACAGCTGAGACAGAAAGAGTCCGCGTCCATTCTTCCCCTTTAATTTACTGGAAGTTCCAGCGTCTGAATAGGAGGGAAAAGGCCAAGTCTACAGGCATCTTGGCAGGGTGACAAGCCATCAAAAAGAGATGTGAATTCCCACAAAATCAACACAGCAAAGCCAGGCTCCTCCACCCCCGGCCCCACCGAACTGTGACTGCGCCTGCCAAGGGATAAAGGGGAGGAAAACGAGTGGAAGACACAGAGGCCTCGGCTCTGACCCACGCACGGACTCTGCGTCCGAAGGAGGACACGGGGGCTGCCCGTGTGTGGTCAGGGCAGAGCAACCGAAACTCCGCGGGGCAGGGGAGGCAATGACAGAGATGCTTCCTGATACCCGCAGAGGTCATTGCGTGCAAGGGATTCCGCCAGGCTCCAGTACGGCAGCAGGGCCTGGGCAGACCTACCTGGAGAACAGGCGAACTCGGGGTGAAATCGAGCAACTGCAACCCCCTCCCACACTCCCTGGTGCTGTGCGTTCCTTCAGCGGGACCGGGGCCCTCAGTCTGACAAAGGCCTACTCTGCAACGAGGGTCAGCTCTCTCGTTTCTGCCGTAGCACGGGTGCAGCCCAGCCGTCCCTCTCCCGGCCATGCTCCTTGGCTTGTGATTTCTAAGGCAATTAGAGGCTTAGCCTCTGCTCGGGGGGGCTGGACTGAGCAGCTGAAGAGGCAGCTCACTGCTCGGACAAAACACAGCCTCACCGTGGACCCCAACAGTCCCAGTTCCGCAAGAAAGGTCTAAACCAGGTGATCACTGTTAGCCCCATGGGACTTAAAACGTAGGCTGGACAGATGACTTCGTTTATCTCCGCAAATACCACAGAAAGATAACAGTCCTTTGAACCCTAAAAGGAAGCCTCATACTGAAAAGAACTGCCGGAAGACCGAAGGTGGGGTCCAGCATCACCACGAAGGGCTGTGTAACCACAGACATGCCACTTGAATCTCCGGTGATAAAATGAAGGGGTCTGATACTTAAGGTTCCTGCCGACTCGAATGGTTCATGATCCACTCGTTATTTTTAGTTCAAGTTCTTTCAGACATCGTGATAGCAAAACTTCACCTTGCATCTAGCAATGAAGATGAGCTATGTGGTTAAAGATATAAAAATAGCCCGGCTGGTGTGGCTCAGTGGCTGAGCGTGGACCCTACACCAAGAGGTGGCAGGTTGGTTCCCGGTCAGGGCACATGCCCAGCTGTGGGCCTGATCCCCAGCGGGAGGCGTGCAGGAGGCGGCCGATCGATGTTCTCTCTCATCGATGTTTCTACCTCTCACCCTCTCCCTTCCTCTCTCAGATCAATAAAGAAAAATAATTACTTAAGAAAAAAAAAAAGATATAAAAATGGACTTTTAAAAGCCACGGAGCATAGGTGTGAGAAAGAAATGCAGTATGCTGCAGAGTCCGGCAGTGTTCCCCGCTCACTGCGGTGAGCTGGCTCACCTGCCACCGGCACTGATTTTTTTCCTTTTACACCGGTGGGCACAGCGAGGAACCTGCAGACATGGGAAGCCCCCGGACTCGGCCCCAGGCTGCCCGGGAAGGACCAGGTGGACGCAGGTGCAGGTGCAGGTGCAAACCTGAGACCGCCCCCCAAGGCCCTGCGGGCCTCCCTGCTCACCTTCCACCAGCTGGTCCAGGCTGGAAATCTTCTTGAGCCCGTCGATGGTGTAGATGGTTCTCACGCCCTGGGGCAGATTCACGTTGTCCGACAGGGTTCGGGTCAGGTCGGCCAGCAGCGCCTCGAAGGAGCGGAAGCGGTCGGGCGAGATGGCGTACACGATGCCCTTGAAGTAGCGGTCGCCGTTGCGGTAGAAGCGCACCTTCTTGGCCTTCTTCTCGGAGCTGAGCGTCTGCAGCGTGCGCGTCCGGTAGAAGCTGCAGTGCGCGCTGTGCGTGGGGCTGGGCAGCCCGTTCACGCGCGACCCCCGGCTGTAGCGCTGCGCCTTGTCGCGCTCGTCGAAGTGCTCCAGCTCCATGTCTCTGCCGAAGGACATGGCGCTCGCGGGCCTGGGCACAGAGACAGACGCGCTCCGGTTATTTTAAGACCCTGGATGGAGAGCTCCAGCTTGCGAGCAGCTGGTGGGGACGGCGCTACCCACGATGACATCTTTCACGGGGACGACCGAGTTGGGGGAGAGAGAAGGCAGCCCAGGAAAGGAAACAGCTCATGAATCATCCCTGCTGTTATTACAAACAGCTCCTGGGGACCATCACCCCACAACCCCCCCGGCTGCCAACCGCTATTCTTTCCAAGGGTCGCATCAAACCTTGCACAGTGTTATGATTCCTGTTGACAGACAAAAGGCCAAGCAGAGGAAAAAAAAGTCGCCTACATTTCTGCAAGTTGAGACCATTGAGAAAGGCCTGAACCAAGAACGGGGACCCTGGCGGGCCAGACTCCAGAGCCCAGGTTGCCGGGCTCTGTGCTGGTCCTGGTGGCAGGCGGGAAGGAAGCCTGGGGTCACCAGGCAGCTTCAGAGGTGGTGGGCCAGGGCAGAAGGACAACGGGCAGCCTTTCATGATCAGACTGCCTACGGTCCTTCGCGTTGGCAGACCCCACGGCCGCATGGGGAGCAAATGGAATCGATCCGTAAATTCTACCCACTTCGGGAAGATGTTCCAACGTATCCAATTGAAATTATTTTTAAAAGTGAGCTCGCCACAGCTCGTTTCCTGACATGTAGCGCGTCAGGAAATTTGGATTTAAAAGGCAGAAAAGGGACAGGAGAAAGAGGAGGAGGAAGAGGGGGAGCGGGGGGAGAAGATGATTAACAAAAACAGCAATAACAAGAAGGGATGAACGGCCTTGCTCTCCCTTTCCCTGAGGCTGCCTCTGCCTTTGCGGTGGAGGAAACTGAGGCTGAAGAGGTTGATGCAGACCCGACCCAGGCTCGCTGGGCCACCTGGAGTAATCTCCTTGGTCAGCACCTCTGAGCCTCCAGGTCCTTCATCATGCATGGAAATGATAACAGTACTTTCCTCACAGCTAATATTAATCATCAAATAAGTTAACATACAGGAAGCACTGAAGACAGTGTCTCGCATGTGATCAGCATTAATCCCTTTTATTAATAAAATCTGCTTTTCTGATCCTGACTCTGTCAAAGAGAGCACTAGTAGGAACAGAAACCTCCCCCTCCTGGTGAGAGAGGCTCCTGGTGAGTCCCCCCGATGCCCACTCGTGACCTTCTGGAAGGAATGTTTGCACCGCACGGTCCCCATTAGCCTCTCTGCGGAGTCCTGTTATCAGCGAGCTGCCTCTGGAATCTGTCCGTCCTCGCTAGGGGCAGCTGCCGAAGGCTGTGGCTGCCCCTTTGGAAGGACCCATGCTTTACCAGGTCAGTCTAGAAAGGGGGAAACAGACCTCAGGTTCCAAAGGAAAGACATTCTAATGACGAAACTTCAGGAATGTGGAAATAAAATATAAGGGAAGTGGAAAATGTGGGGCAACAACCTGAGTGTTCCCCAAATCCCACCCATCATGGAGATGATGTCCCCTGTCCACAGGTCAGTCCAACCTACCCAAAAACACCGCCAAGCCCCCCTGACCTTTCCGTGACCTCTGATTCATTCAGAGCGGCTAAAAATGTGTGCTGAAAAGCAGGTGTCCTCCCAAAATGAATGAAGTGGAAAGAGCCACTGTACTGAACGTCTACCATGTGCCTGGCACTGTTCCTCAGCAATCAGCTGTGGAACATGCTAACTATTCTCTTCTCAGTCCACGAAGATCCGATGAGGTCGGTAAGACAGTGACTGGGGGTGTGTGTGGGATGTAAGCTGGGTCCCAAGGTCATGACTGAGGGAGCTGGGATTTGAACCCAGATGTCCTCTGAATGACTGAAGCCGGCACTCCTTCCTTGTCACCCCAAGAGCTGTGTCCTAGAGGCCTAAACCTCCTGAGATGAGACCCTCTGTGCATGTACAGTAGGGACTTTCTTAAGCCCTCACTCCTCACTGGATCAGTGACCTTGGGCAGGCCACTAACTGCTGAAGACGGCTGCAGAGCAGACAGGGGTCAGCAAGCCTCTGGCGTCTTCCTTCACCTGCTCATGAGTCTACTGCTGAACCAGCGGGGTCGGGGAGGGGGCAGTGGAGTGTGATTTAAATCTGGAGTGATGATCAGTTCGGTGTATTTTTTTCTTCCAAATATGGAAACCACATCATGCCTCTTCATTTGCGTTTTCCAGAAGTTATAGCATGTATAGGTAGCTATGAACTGGATGCACTGATTTTTCAAGTGAGATAATTACAAAACAATGATCAGTTGATAGCTCATCCTTCAGGTAGCTGTTAACTGAATAACAGAACCAGTATTTTGCCCATGATATCATAACTGGCCACTACTCATGCCAACTCAATAAACTCTTCAAACTTGGTCAATCATAAAGGCCCGATTGGTTTCTGAAGACTTTTTTTTTTCTTTTTAAAGTCAGTGATCATTTTCCAATCCTAGGATTTCCCCCCAAATCTATATAACCCCAAAGAACACAAGTAGGGTCCGAGCAAAGGAGGGCACAGCTGTGGCCAGAGAGTGCAAATCTAGTCTGAAAGGCTCTTGTCCAGCCACAGTTGCCAAGACCAAAAAATTGAAGCAACTACTGGAATTCCTTAGAGGAGCAGGCTTTTGGAACCTAGAATTCCACAGCAAATGAAAAAAAAAATTAATAAATAGAGAAAAGTTGGTTTTGTTTTATTTTATTTGCATATATCCTAAAACTGGATCACACGTTCCACCAGGACAGAGACCATCCACATCTTCTACGTCCCTTCATTCACTAAGCCTGCCCAAAAGTAGGCACTGATGTCAGCGACAAAGAAAAACCACCTTCAATGTGAAATCATCTTCAGGACTGAGCTACCACTAAATGCATGTCTCAGACCACATTACACATCCCAGGGTTCCAGGAATGACATGAGGCATCAAAACAGGTGTGCTTCCCTTGCCCTGGCTGGCTCAGCTCTCCAGTGGGCTTAGTCATATATCTGAACCCAGAAGATTCACTGGGCCTCCGCAAGCTCCCACTTTCTGCACAGGAAGCCGGCTTGAGCACAGTCACATGTTCACAGACCATCGGAGGCTAAGGGTGGAAGCCACCATGTGTGGGAGTAACACACCACCTTCCACACAGATCACAGACACCTGGGTGGAGGAGGGGGCGTGGCTCTTATCCCAGATTTTCCTATAAACACTGCCCAGCCAACAAATCACTCTCCATTGTTCTCTGTGGGACTTCTCACCATTTTGAGTAACTTGTGTTCATCCTCTAGATGAGCTCATGACTTTGTGTTTCCAGGTTCCCCCTTCCACCCAGCACCCACCTACAAGACAATTTGTCATGAATACTACCACATCTACATCGATGCTCTACCTGGAAGTCCCAAGGCACATTTCTGTCCGTGGATTATAATGCAGGTGGGTGGACAGGCTAGAATTAGACACACACACACCCTCAGAGCCTGGGCACCACCCTGGGCAGACAAAACGAGACCGAGACGTGTGTTTATAATGTCCCTACATATAACCTGTCTTAAAGTCCCTCCTGACCCGCATCCACGTGACATTTCGTAGTTAAAATGTGTCCTACTTTCCTTCCTTTCCAAAGGCGATGCATTTGGGGACAGTCAGCAACGCGTTCGCACACCAGCCTGCAGTGTGGCGGCACCACGCGTGTGCACCAGAATCTGGACACATCGCAGGTGCAGAGAGGGAGCCGGTTTGAATGAAACCTTCCACCTGCTCCACCTCCCGCAGCATCGCCTTGCCAAATCCAGCGGCGATTCCTAGCACACCTCCTTTGCAAAAGCAGCCTTTCTTTCGGGGGGCGGGGGGGGGGCGATGCAGGGCCGTGCGTGCGCTCCCACCAGGAAGAAAATGCCATTTCCTCTCCGCGTGCTTTTAGCACTGCGGGTACTAATCTGTACGTGAGCAGCCCCACTGTCCCCGAAGGAACTTGCGGCCCTGCAAAAGCGCTTGGACACCCCCACTGCGGCCACCCAGGCGCAGACAGCCCATCCTCCAGCCGCGACCTCCCCGCACAGGAGCGCACACAATGAGAGGCCTGGCCGGCCCCTCCTAGGCGCAGACGCTCCTCCTTCGAGAGTTCTCACAATGACAGCCCTGGCCGCTCCGCCCGGCTCCCCTTGTCCGCTCCACGCCGCACAGCCGGGCCGGGCGCGGGCGCGCTGGCCGACTCCCCGTTTCAAGCCCAGCGGCACCGAACAAAAGAGGCAGGTGTCCGCAGCCGGGGCCGCCCGCACACTCCGCCCGCCCGGCCGGCGGCCCGACCTCGCGCCCGCGAGGACCCGCGGCGGGGGCGGCGGCCAGGGGCGTCCCGCGCCCTCGCGCCCCGCGATCTCCGGCGCCCGCGGCCGGCCCTCCCGCGGCTCCCTTCCCGGCGCCCGCAAACCACGCACCGTCCGCGGAGAGACGCCGCCGGTCTTTGTGGCGCGCGGGCCGCCTCCTGGCGCTGTCCTCGGCCTGGGCGCGGCGCCGGGCGGGCGAGGGCCTGCGGCTCCGGGGCGCGGGCGTCCGGCTGCGGCGCGGGCGCGGGAGGACCGGTCCGGCCTCCGACACGCGGCGCTCGCTCGGCTCGCTCAGCCCGCGGCGAGGAGGGCGGTGGCGAGCGCGCTCCTTTTCTTGCCGCGCCGGCGCCCGCACGCCCGCCCCGCGCCCGCCTCCTCCGCGCGCGCGCCCCGCGCCCCCGCCCCTCCCGGCGGCGCTCCACCGCGGCTGCGCCGGCCCTTCTCCCGCCGCCGCGGGCGCGCCTCCCCGGTGCGTGGGCCCGAGCACGCCCTGGCCCCGCCGCCCGCGCGCCGTGCAGATCGGGGCGCTCGGATGGGGGCAGGGGAAGAAGGGCGACGGGCCAGCTCGGAGCCCCGAGTGTGCAAGACTGAGGCGAGGGCGGCCCAGAGGTCCACAGTCCCTCCCCGCCCACACCCTGATGTGCCTCTGGGTCTGACACCTTTCCCGGGGTGGTGAAGCCCAGGTGCAGCCATGGGGACCAACCGTGACCCTCCCCACCCACCACCGCAGTGTCCCTCTCGGCCCCCGCCCCGCTGGGAGGGGGCCGATGTACGCCGGGGTCCCACCCTTCATCTCCCCTGGACTCCAAGACTTGAGTCACCCCTGAAATGCTGCTTGGAGCCAAGTATGTCGCAACAGGCCCTGGCTAACTGCAGGGCGGGCTTCACTCTCAGGCCCCTGATGGTTCCACGCTGGCGGGCAGCGCTTGGGCAGCCCCTGAGCTCATCACACAAGCCTTCGCTCCGCTCTGGGGGCAGGAATGCTACCCAGGCCGCGCACAGCTTCCCGAGCCCTTGCCAAACGTCCCGGGAGTGGGAACAGGTGGCAGACGTCCGTGAACCTAGCCTGCTGCGGGGACAGCCTGAATTTTGGTCCAGTTAACCTACTGACTTTCAGTCACGTCGCTTGAGACATGTAATTTGCCCCAATACTTTGTTTCTCAATACAGAAACACCAGTATTTTTCTCTCTTCCTGAACTTGCACCTTTTGATGGAAAACCGGGATTTTATTTTTCTCTTAACCATTGAGCCACGTTCTATATTTGACTGCTTATTATAAGAACTATTCTGAAATACTTTCAAAGTAGCATGTAAATAAATACTAACTACCATTTGTTACAAAGGCAGCTGGAGCTGCATGTTATCGGTTTAACAAATGCTGCAATGTTTATTTTTGAACTCTTGAATAGCCCAAGGATGAGAGCACAATGCTTTTACCAAATTAATTACATGCAAAGTACGGAGCCTGTTCTTTCAAATTCTAAAGCAAAATGAGGGCCCGAGGGGTAAGTGTGGAGAAAGTTTGGAGCCCAGTGTATTTTCTGGAGAACAGAAATCGGAGTTTCTGTTTATCTTTTCGGTGGCAAATGCCAAGCAATTTCTGCCCAGTGCTAAACCAGGGAATAAATTCCATCCTCTAACCCCTGTGGATAGTCTATCAGGGTCATTTCTTTAGCACGTTGAGTGCCTCAACCATACCTTACCTCTGTCCTAGCTCTTCTACCAGGGACGGGCAGCTAGTGTGCTCAAAGAAACACCTTTCAGTTTGATTCGCTCCGTTGAAATGTGTTCTCACTAGAGATCGTTGAGCATTATTAGGACACCTAATAATTGGACAATAAATAATTAAGTAGATGAGCACACCACCCTGTGATCCTATCATTTTGGCAGGAAAGCAGGCTGGTACTGAATGGTGCTTGGGGACCTGACAGAAGTAACCCCAGAAATGCCCAACTTCCTTCCAGGGAAGCCTTTGGCAAATCGAAGTCCTATTCAATAATACTTCTTACTTGAAATGAAAATTACCTGGGAACTCTACTCCAGGTAATTGTCAAAAACTGATGTTACTTCCTTTACATCACCAGGATACTGATTTAAAAGTGACTGGGATGAAGGCGTCCTTTGCCCATGGAAACCTGGAGTTCACAGAGGTCTCATTCTACCTCCGCAAAGCTAGTGTTAGTTACGCCGTTGGACCCCAAACGCGGGTCCTGCTGTTTGCTGTGCCGGGAACTTCTTACATATTCCCTTATTTCATTCCTACAACAACATTCAGGCAGGCGTTATTATCCTCCTCGGACAGATGAAGGAACTGGGGTACAGGAAGCTGACCTCATTTGCCCACACAGCTCATAAATGCAGAGCTGGAGTCCATTTTTAAAATTTCCTAACATTTTAAAATTCAAGTCAGTTTTCGATTCTGTGGCCATATGCTGGAAAAGCAGTCCCAAATCCTAGTGTGAAGCTTAATCTCTGTAGGAAAATGCAGGCTTTTAATCGAGGAATGTATTATTTCAGAACAGAGAGAAAACAACAACTGCTATTATGAACACTGCTTCCTTAGTGATGGGGACCATCAAGTGTGTCTACTCTGAGCTAACATTTCCATGAGAACATTTGCACTCCATGCTCTGACACCAAGTTGATGGACAATCTAATCTGTGTGTGCTTTTTCCCTTCAAGTGAACCAGGCACAAACCAGGGAAGAGGAAGAGAATGAAAGAATAATACGTTTTAGTTGATCATGTGTCTCTTCTCGGGTACCTTTGGCGTCTGCATAGAAAATGTGCTTCATCATGTCGATTCAGAGAGAATTACAGAATGAATGGGATAAGGAGGAACAGGTGCACTTCCACTTTTCCCCTCTTGGGGGGGATGTACTCAGTCCCTTTCATAATCTCGCCTCAGTTCTCCTCTGGGGCCAAGGGCATGCAGTCCTCCTGGGCTGGGGTACCAAGCATATTCAGTGCCCACCACAATTGTGCGGAACAGCTTCATAGAATATGATCATCACTCTCTCTTTCCTTGGTAGTTCTCTCCATAAGATAAAGGATCTTCATGGCATGTCCCGCATTGTCTCCTAATTGCCTGATTACAGAACACTTACTTCTGCTATCAGAGCGGCAGCAGCTCCATGCTGAGGGCCCTTGGCAGCAGCCTGTCCGTGTTCACCCCCTGCATGAGGCCCTGCGCAGTGGTCCTTCACCCCCACTCTGTGGCCTCTGAAGGTGGCATATGTCACAGAGTGAAGAGAAAAGGTTTATCATGAGAGTTAGGATAGATCAGGGGACTCGAGACGTAACGTATAAGATCTCTAAAACTGCTTTTTAATTGGCTACTTACTTCCGGCTTGGCACTCCAAATTGGCCGAGGGTCCAAACTACCTAAGGTTCTGGACCTGCACGAAGGAGGAACTCTGCTACCCTGGGATGCTTCCCTGAGCCGGCCGTTTTCCAAGGCTCACGTCTCCCTTTCTGAAGTGTGACTTCCGTGAACAGAGAGGAACTCACCCAGCACCCTCCCCTGCTGGGCGGCTCCCCAAATTAAACCCAGAGCCGCTTCCCTGGCCCTTCCCTGGTGGCCCTGCGTCTTCTCGTTGGTCAGACAGAACAGATCTAATAGTCCTGCCTTTTGCTTGACAGCTATTCTGTTCTGCCACATTCCACCCTCATGAACTAGGAGTCCCCAGCTCTTCCCTTGTTTCTCATGTGACATGCTTTGCGGTGTCGGTGGTATGCAGGGGCCAGGACCTCCTTCAACATCCGCCTCTCAGAACTGGGCATGGCAGGGTGGCTGACCGGACGCTTGGTGACTCAGGGACACTGGACGCATTGCAAAGGAGCCTGACATCCAATCCCCGGTCTGGCAAGCATGTGCTACCACTGACTCAGTTAAAATCATGTGCTGTTTTGCTCATTCTGGTCCCTCATTCTGTTCAGTTTGTTCAAGTACATTTGGGGGACCTACGGCCAGTGCTCTGTCTTTGCCTGATTAAATCATGTGTTGTTTGATCCAACCTTCTAACCTGTTGAGTGAGACCCTTGTGGACACATTGTCACCTTACACAGGAGCGGTCCTTCCAGCTTCCCGGCACCCTGATTAGCGCTGCGTCCACATCCTCATCTCAGTCGCTGACTGGAACTGTCAACAGGACCGTGGTTACAGCAGGTTCCAGCGGCTCCCGCCCCGTCTCTCCAGGCTGGCAGCTGATCGCAAACGACCGCGATGTCCTTGGGCCGCTGCAGAGGTCATGTTCTCTACAGCAAGCACCTAACAGATCCCGTGACAACTAACATGGACACTTTTGTGTCTAGAGCTACATCCTTGACTCTGATGCCACTTTGAGGTGATGCGTGTTGTGCAGACCCCACACGCTGTCCTTTCTGCTTCCATTTACCCAGGAATGTTTAGCGTCTTCAGCGTGCCAGGCGCTGAGCTAGGTGGGAATACTACCCCCGCCAGGTGAAGGTACAGGTGCTCTCTGTCCTCAGCACTTACCGACAGCTGTTCCGTGCGCACTTACATCAGTTATTACTTAGTCTCAGTAATACTAGATACTGTGAAGGGAACGCACGGAGCCTGGGAGAGCGCGTCCCTTCCCTGCGGGAGTGATGTGGAAGGGCCTGAGCTGGCCACACACCAGGTGGAGGGGCCCACGGAGAGCAGCCCCGTGGAGACCGAAGGGGAAGCCGCTGGCGTGGCCGGAGCTCCGCGGGCTGGCCGGCGGAGAGGTGCGGCTGCGCAGGGGACACGGGCAGTGCTCCAGGGTTGTTGGCCCCATTAGAGAATGTGGATCGTGTCCTGCAGTAATGGAAAATCGCTGATGGCTTTTCGCGGAAAACTGGCAAGATCGGATTTGCACATTTAAAAGCTCCTCGAGTCTTTCCGGCTGCTGTTGGAGCAAGATGAAGTCTGGGGGAATAAGAAGAGATCTACTGTCAAGGGACTGCTGGGCGGGCGCCGGAGAGCCCCTGGCGTGGCTTACGTTCCCTGGTTCCATTTAACGGATCAGGATGGAGCAACGGTTATGAGTTGGCCTGCACAGAATAACTGAGCCCAATGATATAAGGCAGAATCGACAGAATTATAACAAGAAAGTGAAAAACATTTCAACACAGGTCCAAGTATTGATGTCATAGCACCAATACTCCCTCCTAC